GGGGGTTCTTGGCATTGATGGTTCTCCCCCACAGCCCCCCCCAGCCAAATATGGCGGCCGCCACACTGTGACGCTGATCCCCGGGGATGGCATCGGGCCGGAGCTGATGCTGCACGTCAAGGAGGTGTTCAGGTGGGCGACCTTCCCCCCGCCATCTTACGGAGGGTCCTGTGGAGGAGTGTGTGTGGGGGGGTTTGTCCTCACCAACCCCCACCCCACCTCCCCCCCTTCCTTTTCCAGGCACGCCTGCGTCCCCGTGGACTTTGAGGAGGTGAAGGTGAGCGCGGAGGCACCAGAGGACGACGTGCACAACGCCATCATGGCCATCCGGCGCAATGGGGTGGCACTCAAAGGCACGATGGGGGGCTGTCCTGTGGGGTGGGGTCCCTTGGGGGCTGTCCTGTGGGGTGGGGGTCCGTTGGGAGGGGTTGTCCTGTGGGGAGGGGTCCCTTGGGGTGGGTTGTCCTGTGGGGTGGGGGTCCATTTTGGGGGGGTTGTCCTGTGGGGTGGGGTCCCTTGGGGGCTGTCCTTGGGGTGGGGGGTCTGTGGGATGTTGTCCTTGGGGTCCCATAGGGGGGATTTGGGGGAGACCTGTGGGTTTGACCCCCCCCCAACGGGTTGTGTACATTCCTGTTGGGTTGGTGGCCACCCCCTGGAGTTGTGTGCCCCTATGGGAGGTTGGGGGTCGTCCTTTTGGGTTGGAGACCCTCCCATATGGTTGTGGGTCACTCTGTGGGGGGCTGTTATCAATTCCCCTATGGGGTTTGGGACCCCCGTTGGGTTGGGGACCTCCATGGGTTACTGAGGACCCCCACTGAGTCGGGGATCCTCTCATTGGGTTGGGGGCAACGCCATAGGAGGTTATGGACTTGGGTTGGGAACCCCCATAGAAGGTTATGGGGCCGCCCCATAGAGCTGAGGATCCCCTCATTGGGGTGAGGACCCCCACAGGAGGTTATGGGGCCGCCCCATAGAGCTGAGTATCCCCCCCCCACCCCATAGGTAACATTGAGACCAACCACAACCTCCCTCCCAGCCACAAATCCCGCAATAATCTCATCCGGTGAGCTCCAGGAGGGTGGGGGATGGGAAGGGGGAGATGGGCGTGGCCGAGTGGGCGGAGCCTAACGGGGCGTGTCCATATGGGGGGGGGCTGGGTGGGGCAGGACCAGCCTGGATCTCTACGCCAACGTCATCCACTGCCAGAGCCTGCCTGGGGTGGAGACCCGGCACCGCGACATCGACATCCTCATCGTCAGGGAGAACACGGAGGGGGAGTACAGCAGCCTGGAGCACGAGGTGTGGCCACGCCCCCCTTTTCTGATTGGTCACGCCCACCTGCCATGCCCTCCCCATTCGGGCAGCTCCCTGCCGTTTTGGCCACGCCCCCTTCAGTATGGCTGCCCCTCTTTTGGCCACGCCCCCTTCAGTATGGCCGTCCCTCTTTTGGCCACGCCCCCTTCAGTATGGCCGTCCCTCTTTTGGCCACGTCCCCTTCAGTATGGCTGTGCCCTCTTTTGGCCACGCCCCCTTTTGGCCACGCCCCCCGCGGTACAATCGACCACGCCCCTTTCTCATCGCCACGCCCACTTTTGGCGTTGCCACGCCCCCCCCCTGGCCATACCCCCATTCAACGTTGCCATTGGTCACGCCTTCTCCCCAGCCCCGCCCCCTTCGATACTGCCACGCCCCTTTTTTGCATTGTTACTTCTTATTGGACACTCCTCCTTTCAGCCACGCCCCCTCCTTGGCCACGCCCCTCGGCCCCTCTCCTCCCTCCAGCTCCGCCCACCCGCTCTCCTTCCCTCCCCACCCCGGGGGTCTCCCAACCCCTCCCCCCCTCTGTGCCCCCTCCCCACATTCCGTGCCCCCCCTCCCCACATCTCTGTCGTCCCTCCCCCCCCTCAGAGCGTGGCGGGGGTGGTGGAGAGCCTGAAGATCATCACGGCCGGCCGCTCGCGCCGCATCGCCCACTACGCCTTCGGGCTGGCGCGGAGCGCGGGGCGGCGCTGCGTCACCGCTGTGCACAAAGCCAACATCATGTGGGTCCTGGGGGGTCCTGGGGGCTCCTGGGGGGGGTCCTGGGGACACAAATCAGCATCGTGAGGGTCCTGGGGGGGGTCCTGGGG